TATAATGCAGTCAGGAGGCCTTGAATGATGCAACTAGTCAATAACTTGGCTGCAAACCAAAAGGTTAGTGGTTTGAGTCTACCCAGAGATGGTTTGAAAAAAAGTACTGGCAATTTACTTTTGAGTAGTCAGTCCATGGACACTGTATGAAGCATTTTCCACTCTGGCTCGTGTGGGGTCACCATCAATAGGAGCTGAGTCAACTCATTAGACAAAAGGTTAGGTTTTGGGTTGTTTCTTTTTCTTCATTTATTGTATTAATTTTTTTTTAAAGAATGTTTTGTTCATTGCTGAATTCCTAGTGTCTGACACAAAATAAATATTCAATAAATACTTGTTGAGTAAGTGACTTTTCTTCCAAGAAAAAGTTAAGAAAATGATAAACCAGAACAAGTCAAAATAAGAAAAACAAGTTTCACAGGTGGCCCGGAAGTTATTTCTCTCTACAACTTTAAAATGGCTATTTTCAAATGTAGAGAGTAATGGTATTTCAACAGAGTACAAAATATCCAAGAGATGTTTTTAGACACAAATTCTCTGTAGCTACTTCAGTTACTCAGGTTGTTCGGGGCTGCCTTGGAGCTGAGAGAGTTCCAGGGAAATGAGGATGCAATTTTCTAAACAAATTACTGTATTGTCTTTTCTTCCCTTTCATTAGCTAATGTAATTCAAGAATGGACTGAAGAAAATCGTCTTCTTTTGCTTTTCAAGGTGGTCACTCCTGCAGAGAACCTCTCAGCACTCTCTCTCACATTAGATTCCAGAAAGTTTTCAATACCCAAACATGGTTTCCTTTCATTAAGCAAATCCCTTTTCCAACATAATTGGACTAAACTGGGTTAGAAATATGACCGTAGCTTACCCTCTAGCTGGTTTTCCACAGCGGGAGATTGCCGGCTTATCTCCAGAGGAGAAGTTGGTGGATTCAAACCGATCAGCTTTACGTTAGTAGCGCAATTCCAGACCCACTAAGGCACCAGAGATCCCTGAAAATGTTTACAAAAGAAAAAAAAATTAAAAATGATTGGGAAAAAAAAAGACTCAAATGTTTAAAATGACCCAAAATTGCGGTTGAGCTATTCAGACCCCAGATACCCGCCATGGGGTTTCCAATGACGTCAACCATACCGAGAGGAGACTGTCCATCAGTCCAGCCGCCGGGTGGATGCGAAACGCTGGCAGCCTTTGGGTAAACTAAGGCGGCTCTCTATGGAATCCTCCACAATGACATTCTGGACCTCTGGAAAGGCCAAACACCAACCAGAACCCTCTCTCTGCTATATGCTGGGGCTGAGTGCCATCGATAACTTGCTGGAGATAGAGTCTCCTAGGCTGGTTGTCTTTCTGTCTTCTCTATGGTTGCTCCACCCACATGGCTGTAGCGGCTGTTTTGGTGTCTTCAGAAATCCTGGGCTTAGTGATAAGGAATTGCGCTGCCAACCCAAAGTTTTGTGGTTCGAATCCACCAGCTGTTCTACAGTCGACAGATAGACAGTTTCCTCCCATGGACTTTGTAGCCTCTAAAAACCCGCTAGAGGTTCAGGTATGAATTGTTCTGATTTGAGGGCACCTAACAACAGCAGCAGCAAAACCAACAAGGCTCTGTGGAATTGGTGCTCTATGAGCCATGGGAGCAGGCTGCCTCTACCAGCCATCTGAAAACTGCCAGTGGTGAGGGTAGAAGCTTGTTGAATCTACGAGTTTTATTACCAGGTCAAAAGCCACAGTCATTGTGGCGAAGTTCAACTAAGGGCTGACCCTTCAGGGGTTTCAGGCTTCCAGAGCAAAGTTGGGGAGGAGATTGTACAAATTTGTTCCACAGAGTCACTCACCCAAACTCCAACCATGGCCCCTCTGCCCCTTCCCTGATCCCCATCCCAGAACCAGACCCTCACCAAAGGTTTTCCTTTGAATTTTACCACACACTGAGAAAGATGCTGCTGTGAATCGCCAGGTGCTCCATGGTGGATAGAATTAAAGCCTCAGAAACCCTATAGGGCAGCTCGACTGTTTTGTAAGGTCCTTTAGATTTGGAATTCACCACGGGGATTGGGTTTCGATTTTGAGGAGTCCTTGAAATCAAATGTATGCCAGCTTTGGTTTATGTTGTTTGAAAGAGTCCTTCTGACCCTAAAGAGACTCGGTGGTTCAGTGCTTAACGAGTCAAATTGCTAACCAAAGTGTTGGCTGTTCCAATCCACCAGCAATTTGGTGGGACAAAGATAGGAGAACTCTTTCCTCACATTAAGATTTACAGCCTTCAAACCTTTGGAAACCTTGCAGGAGAGCAGCGAGGAGTTGGAATCCATACCACAGCAGAGCAGAGGTTTTGGTTTTCCTGTCCCAAGCTGCCTGGGGAGAAGGCAAGAGCTCCCTGCCTGCATGCACTCTCCTCTGAGGAGTAAGTGCAGACTCTCCTGCCGTCAGCCAGGATTCTTCATGTGTAACCTGCATTTTCGATTATTTGATTGCTCGTTTCTATTCCTTTCTTGTCGTCTTCCTGAGTGCCCTCTCAAATACCAAGAGATGCCCGTGAATGTATTCCGGGATGCAGCTTTGAAACCAGCAAACTTCACGGACCTGGGCAATGTACAGGGAGGGCGTCCCTTTTTTGTTACATCCTAATTAGCCACAACCTCAGCCTACCGACACCTCTTTCACTAGTGCTGGAGAGTCCTCTCCAAGTCCAGGTAGCTACTGGAACCCAGGTTTTCGTTAGAGGAAAAAGGGAGAAGCTGTGTCAGTGTGTGTGTGTGTGTGTGTGTGTGTGTGTGTGTGTGTGTGTACGTACGTACACGTGTGTACATGAGTGCGGGTGGATGGGTGCACATGTTGGAGTGATTTGGCGCCAGTGAGCCCCTCCCTGCCCATTACTTGGAGCAGAAATTCGAGGTTACTGTGGGGTACCAGAGGAGATTGTCTGGGTTAGGTTTCTGCAATCCTACTTTCCTCTCCCGCTTGTCCCCTGATTAACTGCTAACCTTGGCCCTTGGGTCTGTGGCTCTGGCCTTTTTCCAGCGTAGACTTAGATCTCAGCATGCTCGGATCTACTGCACTTCAGAGAAGCTGGGCGGGCACGCAGTAAGACCCGGACACAGATCTCCAGCTTAGCAAACATGCGGGAGTTGCAGCTGTGCAAACCAGCCCTGGCACACCAGCAGAGGATCTGGTCGGGTTTGTGCAGGGATGCCGTGCTGCTGTACTAAAGCGGTTTGGCCTCTTTTTCTAGTTATTGTGTGTACCATCGAGTCCGAACCGGTCCATAGCGGACCCTCTGGTGGGTTTTCATAGCCACATGGGAGGAGATTGTCCTTCCTTGTAGTCTCCTCATTTACATAGACCCCTGAGAATCTGAAGCGGCTTGCTGCAAGATTAGGAACAGAACCTATCAGAGACCCATATGCCTGGGCTTCTGGGCCGGGGTTATCCTGGGAACATCTTAGGTAGTCCTAAAAGACTAATCTGTCAAAACCTTTCTCATGGACTATTTCAACTGTGATCCCTTTAAACCCCAAACAGGAGCTACAGGCTGCTGTAACAGGCGTTTGGAGCAGGGTTCAAGAACAGAGTTAGGGTGCCTAGAAGGCGAGAGACGCTCTTGTTCTTCCGGCAGAGACTCCAGATTCTTCCAAACTTGCCTCCACTTCCAAGACATGGACAGCCTTTGCTCTCTCATAGCCTCTTCCCTCCACCTCCCTAAGCATTGACCTCAACAAGAGGCAAGAGGCAGGGCTCCCGCTTCACATCAGCCGGTGCCGCAAACAAGGCGATGACGCAATAGGAATCGCTTGGCCTTCTGATTGGCTGATCCAAGACACTTTGGATTGGCTGCTCAGGTCCCCCTCCTGGTTCTCACTGGAATAAAAACCTCCGGGCTCTGTGGACCCGGTGGTCACAACTGGAGTTGTGTCCCTCCATAGCGGAGTAACCACGCTTGCTGCCTCATCTCCAGGTGAGGAAACTCTTATTCCTAGGTAAGAAGCTTTCCACTCTACTTGTGAAAGCCCTTGGTGACTGTTTTGTACCCTGGAATCCCTGTGATTTGCTGTTTGCTACATCAAGGCTATCTCTGCTTGACCCACAGCCTGTGGTCCTGACACTCTCTCTTCAGGTTTTGGGAGACTGCAGGAGGTTGGGGCTAATCGCTGCCATTTCCTGCTAAACAGCGCAGGTTAACTCAGTATCTCTGGGGCTTTGCCAACAGGCTGGGACTCTGCAGGGGACCCTGGAGGGCTGGGCTGTCACCCTCCGTTCTGTCTACCGGTGCGTGCGCAAAATCCTGACTGAGTTTGGCCAGGAAGTGCCTGCACCCTTTAGGACCAATTTGTGTTCTGGGGACAAGGACCTTCTATCCTTGAGCTTGCTTTCTGCTGCAGGCACTCTTAAGACTTGGGACCTGGGCTTGGGACAGTGCGTTTTGAGACTAGGGTGGTGGGCTAGCGTGGGAGGAGGACATCCAGCAATACCTGCTGATAATTGCGCCCCAAGTAGCACTCTGGCTATTCGGGCAGAGCCGGTGACATCTGTAACTTACAAATTAACCTTTCTGCAAACCCAAAGCAAGATGCTGAGGGATCAGCGCACCTTTCTTTAGTGAGCATTGGCTCAAATCCTATTTTTTTTTTCTGTCCAGGAGAGCGCTAGTGGGCAATGAAGGGGTGGGGTGGGGGGTTTGCAGTTAGTTTCTATGTAGACCAGCACAGATGGTTTTTCCACAGAGCATCACTAGAATAATCCGCCCCAGTCCTATCTTTTCACCAGCACATCTTCATTCTTATCTTCAGAGCTTCACTTTTTTTTTTTTCTGTAGAGCCTCACACCACAGCAAAATGTTCTGCAATCGAACAGATAGAGAGGCATGGGATGGTGAGAAGAAGTAGCCTGCCTGAGGTCATGCGCCAGCTGTTGCAGAGGCAAGCCTGTGACTTAGGTCTGCCTGCTGGCTGACAGCGCTTGTTTTCTACAGCTGTAACTTCATTCTGTCTTTACAGAGAGGCACCATGGGCTTTGGGAAGTTCTTCCTCTTCTTGGCTATTAGCCTCTTGGTCCTGTACCAAGTGGGTAACCTCCAAGCAGCACCATTCAGGTAAAAGAGCCATTGGGTGAAAACACTGCCCTCCCTCTGCCCCTGGGTTTAGAGAGAAAAAAAAAGGGGGGGGGGTGGAATCACAGTGGCATGTAACTTCTGATAGAAGAGTGTCCTGGGACAGACATTAGCCCTGTGCACCACCTGCCTAGTGGTCGAGTCAGTCAGATCTGTAGGAAAAGCCAGAAAAACCGGGAAGCCTGTTTGCTTATTAAGGGGAGGGAGCTGGCAGGGTCTTAATAAGCTCTACTTTGAGTTTGCATTTTCTCACCAGGTCTGTCTTGGACAGCAGCCCAGACTCTGCTAAACTCAGTGAGGAGGAAGCGCGCCTTCTGCTGGCTGAACTGGTGAAAGATTTTGTGCAGATGAAAGCCAGTGAACAAGAGCAGGAGACTGAGGACTCCAGGTAAGGTTCCAGCACCACCCAGTACCTCCTTCCCCTCCTTCCTACCCAGGAAAATGAATCCCAAGAAGTAGGAGAGAACACCCTTGACCAAGAGCCCAGCTGGCTGTCACCACGGCCTGAGATCCAGCTGTACCAGGCTCCACTGAAGACAGAGGTCCAGCTGAGGCTGGAGGGATTCTGGCTAGATTACATAAAATCACATTCTACTTCTAATGGCTATTAGGAAATGAATTGAGAAGGTATGGAATCATTTATTCTGGGAATTGGTCTTGAGGTAATGAGGAGATCGTCTATCACTGGATGCATTAGGATTGGTAAGTATGAAGCCAGGAATGGACCCATAGCTCACAGGAGCTTTTAAAAATGTGGCCCCACTTGGCTAACCTACATGTTGTTCTTCCACACTTGCAAGGAGCCTTCATTTCACATACGCAGAGGGTGGGGCCAGATAGAACAGTGCCTGAGGTAGGTGTGGGGTCTTTACCGTGCAGGATCTGCTTGCCCTCTGGGGGCTATCTATAAAGATGTGCATGTTGTCAAAAGGTCTGAGAGAGCACACTTTTGTTCCTCACCTCCCTTGTGCACTTTCAGTTTGGAGCAGAGACCACACCCTGACTTGGTCTCAGCAAAACCCGGAAAGAGACATTTATTGCTCTTGCATCCCATCCTGAGAACCCCTCTGCGGAGCATGAGGGACTAAGCAGCATGTGGAATGTGGGAAAGACCATCCCTTCCTCACCTCAACCTTCCTCACACTGCCCTGCCCCAATATACCTAAGGGCCTTTTGATGGAGGACATGTGAGCTTCCCAAACTCCCTGCCCTTCTTAACCCTGCTTGAAGTCCCCCTCCTTCATCTAACTTTCCGTTTAATCGCCCACAGGGGCAGAACTTAGTGCATGACACTCTCTGGCATCTTTTCCCCTGCAGCCTGGACAGCACCAGAACTAAGAGGTGCAGTAATCTGAGTACCTGCCTGCTGGCTTCTTATGCACAACAACTGAGCAACTATCATACGTTCTCTAACAACGGCTTCAGTGCTAAGTCACCTGGAAAGAAATGAGACATGGCCAGCAGCTTTGAGAGTGACAGCTCCTCCTGCTTTGGGGTGCCCCAAGATGCCAACTGAACTGCTACGCCTTCCCAAATTCCTTTCTTGCTTCTACTTACAAATTTAATGCATGCAAATCCCTCTCTAACTGCTATCAAGCTGGAACTGATAGTATTGCTTATGACAGAGAATGTTGGGGATTTGAGGATGGAAGGAGAAAGAACAGGACTGACAGGCCAAGTTAGGGATAAGAAAGAATGCCATACCTGCTTCTCAATGTACCCCTAAGTCTCATATGGTAAATAAACCTACTTTGCATAAAGGATTGCAACTGTGGTGGTCATTGCTTTGGCCTACAGTGAAGATTTGAAGTGCCTGGGGTTTGTGCTTAGAGCATTAGCTTCAGTGTAGCTGGGTCTGGGGCTTGGTGAGTGATCACTGTGAACCAGCGCAAGCATCAAGAAAAGATGTGCAAAGGAGAAGGTAAGTGCTTCTGGGAGAGGATGCCACAAATCCTATTCTTTGAGCTTCTTCCAGGTAAGACTTTAAGTGATTTTCACTTCCCCAGAAATTTTTGCTAATGCTTGTAGCTGAGTTTGGGCCCCTATACACTCCATGTGTGTCCTGGGGTGGGGCTGGGCCTTTGCTGATTGCACCTTCCTGTTCACAAATGGCCGGCTTGTGCATAAGGAACATTTCCCCTCTGGTAAGTGTGAGACCATGGGTGGATAGGGTTTCAGCATGTGCACAGGGCTAGGAATGGGATTTCTGTCACAGTCTCTGGGATGGGCTTCTAGCAAAGGTTGCTTGGCAAATACCCTGTAACAGTTTTGCTAATTATGTTTAGAAGAAACATTTATTGTTAAGTGCTGTGTCAAAAACCATGTTGTCTAAGAACATGTTTGTAATTCTTTTTATGTTGGGTCTATTTGATGGGCTCCTCCCCACCAGTTTCTCACTTGACAAGTCTTTCTTTTTCTGCTAATCAGCATCACTACCCAGAAGAGAGCCTGCAACACTGCCACTTGTGTGACTCATCGGCTGGCAGACTTGCTGAGCAGATCAGGGGGCATCATGAAAAGCAACTTCGTGCCCACTGATGTGGGTGCCAATGCCTTTGGCCGGCGCCGCAGGGACCTTCAGGCCTGAGGAGCTGAGGGATTTCCAGAAGAAGGTGACTGCCTTTGAATTCTAGGGAAGGAAGGGGAGGGGCTTTGCAGGTTAAGATCCACACTTTGAAGCCCTGGACTTGGTAGGTTCTTTAGTTTTCTTTTCTCTAATTATCTTCTTCCTCCTGAGCTTGAATTCCTTCTAGAACTAAGCTCGAAATCAGAGTGAGGCGAGGCTACTGCAGTGATGCAATGACAAAATGCTTGTTGGATTTAGAAAGAGAAGGGAATACCAACCTCATTAGAAGAGCCATTCTTCATTAACAAGTTCAAGTTCAAAAGGGCTCAATCTTTAGTTAGTGTTCCCATATTTAGACCATAAGACTATAGTGATTATATATTATATACATATAAAATATCATCACTGATAATACAGTGGTTAAACATTTGCCTGCTAGCCCAGAGGTAAACGGTTAGAATCCACTAGCTGTTCTGAAGAAGAAAGTTGAGTCAGTCTACTTCTATTAATATTTATAGCCTTGAAAACCCTATTTGGTTAATATTATTACTACTACTAATAATAATGGAAGTGGTTTTATTTTACTTTTCATGCAAAACCTGCTAGTATCACATATTCATAGTTTGTTAATACTGTGTAAAGAAGCCCTTCTGTAAATTGGTGCTATTTTTAGCAATAATTGTGATTATTCTACCATTCTTTTCTCTCTTCCTCCTCCTCTTTGATCCTAGGCTACCGTGAAGTTGAACTTACTACTCCTGTTTTTTTGACAATTAGTTAGAAGGCTCCATGGAAGATACACACGTTTGCATCCTAATAAATACTTGGAAAAAGCACTTTTGTTATTTGAAAGAAATGAGATAGAATGTAAAATAAGCAAATTTCATTATTTGTTGTATATCATTTTTAATATTTGATTCTTTATCCAGTAAATGTGATGGCATTTTTCATTGGCTTGTTTGGTGGCGAAATTAGTACTTTGAAAGCTATTTTGTTTGATCTTGGCAGCTGTGCCAAACTTTAAGGGACATGACATGAATTCACTGCCTCTTGTGGCCCCTGGGGACATATGGGAACTGTGATGCTGTGCCTTGTTGTTTAAGAACATGATTGTATAATTTGTTTAAGGAAATGTCAATATTGTGCCATTTGTGAACTTCATTAAGATTAAAAACATATTTTCGATACACTCTGTTCAAGTGCCTAGTGGTTCATTTCAACTTTTCTCTTTAGGTTGTAGCAAGGATAATAATAACTTATTGTGTATACTAGATTTTCTTAGGTAGGTGCTTGGTGCCTATTCATTCCTTTAATCTTTACAACTACTCCACGGGGTAGATAGACACCATTGTTACTTTCAACTAACATTTGGAAGAACTGAGACGTGGAAAAGTGAAGTTTCAGGTCGAACTAACAAAAGCAGAGCTAGTACTTAAACACACTTGCCTGTCTGTAGAATTTACAGTTTAAACTACTTTCCTATATGCTTCTCCGCAGTGGCTCTAAATACTTTGCTGACACCTATCAGCCATTCTGTAATGACTTAGTGGGCCTCAGGTATTAGTCTTTCAGATTTTTGAGACACATGGAAAATGTAACATTTTCAAACAACCTAATGTTTACATATAATATAATCAACCTCTTCTGCTCACTCCTTAACTTTAACAGCAATCAACTTATGCTCCGTGTTGGTACATTTATATGCCTTTCATCCACCCTCCTTCCCCATACATCTCTCTCTAAACATCAACAACTCTGTAAATATTTTACCATTTCTTTCTAAATGAGAAAACTTCTAACATAACAAAAATATCTAAAACACATTGACAATTTTTGAATTTTTTTCAATTACCATACATTGATTGTTCCAAGTCTTTCATGGCCTTACCTGCATGTATAAAATCAGAATTCAAGTTAGACCTTCACATTGTTACTGGTATATTTTAAAACTCAAATTCACTGCTGTTGAGTTGGTCCCGACTCAGAAACCCTCCATTAAGCTTCTGAGGCTGGATGTTGTAACGGGAGGAGAGTGGCCACCTTTTATGCCAGGAGCTACTGGTGGAATTAAGAGAGCGATTTGTTATCAACTGAGGCATTAGGTGGTTTATTGGTAAGGAATCGTGCTGCCAACTCAAAGGTTTATGGCTCAAATCCCCCAGCTCTTCCATGAGAGAAAGATGGATAATCTCACCTGCTGCGAGTCACTGTGTGTGAACATCCTTTAGTGTGGTCCGCTATGGATCAGTTCCAACTTGATGGTAACAACTAGAAGTCACCAGAGCACCTATTTAACAATCTTCTAATATAGAGAGGTTTCCCCTCCAGCTTTTTACTCACCCTTAACAATTTGTTGGTCCACTAAGGTTTGTGTGTGTACGTATTGTTTTCCCACATTCTGAATTTGATTGATGACATGTTGGACTTAACATGTTCCCATTTCTTCTGTAGCACTGTGATAAAAGTAAATGAGGGGTAAGAGAAGTAGGAGGTGAAGTCTGAGAAGTAATGGGCAGGACAGATCAAGCAGGACTTTGTAGGGCATAGACAAGATTGACTTTCTATCAGCCAAGTTTTTCTCTCTCTGTAGTTAACTGATGCTGTTGTAAGGTATCTCAGAGTCAAGTATGACTTACAATGACCGCATAAATGGATCTGAACCATGCCCTGTCCTGTGCTGTCCTCACAATCTCCAACACTTTCAAACCTATTGCTGCAGCCACTGTGTCAACCCACTTGTTGAAGGCCTTCCTCTCCGTCACCATCCCTCCACCTTCCCAAGCACAATGTCCCTCTCCGTATCTAGCAGCATACCCAGAGTATGTGAGAGGAAGAGGTCAATGAAAGAGAGGGAGAGCCTCTACAAGATGGATTGACACAGTGACTGTAACGATGGGCTAGAAATTATTGGGGTTGTAAGGCTGGCTCAGGATAGGCAAGGTTCAGATCTGTTTTTCAAAGGGTTGCTATGACTTGTGGTTGAATTGGTGGCATTTAACAACACAACAGCAGTGGGGAGCGGGTAGAAGAAGAAAATGTGGTTTTCAGAGCCCTAGTCCAGTGTCTTTGTGGGGGGGAGGGTTGCATCAGTTCTTTATTTTTTTTTAAGGTTTATCACATGTTTATCTCAAAAACATGTGTCTGTATAGTAGATTTTTGCTCCCCATACATTGTATTTTATAAAATTACCATTGGACCCTGCCCACCAATACGCCGTCTTTTCATGACCCTTCTGGATTTTTCTCATTTCCTTGAGCCCCTTCCTCCACCCATCAAATTGCGAGACTCTGTGATATTCTCCCACTCATCAACCTTCTGCTCCTACTCCTTCCCAACCTGGAATGCCATACACATATTATCCTTTTATGTTTGTAATAATGGTTTTATGCAGTATTTGTCCTTGAAAGAATGAGTTATAATACTCTCTGGTCTCTCTAAATTTATGATACATTTTTTTAATTGTTGCTCCTGGTTGCTGCATAGTATTTCATAAAGTGAATGAACCACAATTTTTCAATCCATTCAGTTGTGGTTGGACATTTGCAGCCATGTGTCTTTTTATCTCACTCCCCCCACTGCCTCCAAAAAGAAACACTCTCAGCTCTCAACCCCTGGCAATGAATGTTCTCTCGTCCATCCCTGGAAACACATATTTGTTTGTTTTGCTTTGTAATACTTTTAAAAAATTATTTTATACTGGTTTATTTACAAAGTTTATATACATTGTTTTTTCATACCAGATATTACCCATTAGAAACATGTATTTGGATACACTTAGTTCAAGTGTCAGTTCATTTTCCAGAATAGTAAACAGGTGGTATCAGTAGATAACTTTTGGAATCAAGTTTTTTAAATTCAGCATAACAATTTGATATTTATTTCTGTTAGTTATATCATTAATTTGTTTGGTAGGGTTGGTTTTTTTCTCTGTTGCTGAGTAATACTATGTTTTATAATATACCACACTTGTTTTATCTATTTACTTACTGAAGGACATTTGAATTGTTTCGTATTTTGGACAGTTATTAAAAGAATTGCTGAACATTGTTGGGCTTTTTTCTTTTGTTATGTGAAGATAAGTATAATGATCCTCAAAAATATTTCTCTGTTTTGATACCTATAACTTGTGAATGTTACCATACCGGAAAAAATGATCTTCACATATGCAATTACTTTTTTTGGATGTTCTTTATATGCATAATTTTTTCAATTTTTTAAATTGTGATTTGGGTGAAAGTTTAAAACCACATTGATTTTTAATTCATTCATATACATTTTGTTTTATAATATTAGTTATAATATCCACAATGTAATCGTGCTTTTCCTACTTTCTAACTGTAGCTCTGATTTCTATTAATCTATCTTTTTAAAACACACACACACGTGTGTGTGTGTAAGTATATTTTTATTTATTTATTTTTTGGTATTGGCTGAGTAGAAAAGGACAGCCTCTATAATAGGCCCTACTCAGTGGCAACTTCTCGTTCCATAGGATCAAGGAAGACTTTGAGGAAATAAAAGTTCTTTGGAAAAATTCAGGTATATAGTTGCTTTGTGCCAAACAGTAGTCAAGAAATCAAAAGATGAATTCCATTGGGAAAATCTCCAGGGTACTGAAAAGCAATTATGTCAGTCTAGAGACTAAGGTGTACCTGATACAGGCCATGGTCTTTGCAATTGCTTGCTATGCATCAGAGAGATGGACAGTGACTAAAGATAACAAAAGAATTGGAGCCTTTGAGTTGTGATGCTGGAGAAGAGTCTTGTCCATACCATGGACTACCAAGAAAATAAGCCTGTTTTGGAGAGGGTGAAACCAAATTTCTCCTTGGAGGCTGGGATTGTGAAGCTTTGTCTCATATACCTTGGGCACGACCAGGAGGGACACCCACCCCACTCTGAACGTGGCCATGGCATGGTGGCTGCTGCAGCAGTACTGGGACATCCCTGCCAGCACCGACTCCCACCACAAGGCCTCTGCCAGCACAAATGTCAGCTGACCACTGATGTCTTCACTTCTG